AGGTGCTTGTCTCTATCCGAGGGATTGGAGCAAATGGGAGTGGGAGAACACTTTAACCTGTCTGGTCATTCAGTGACAGACCTGCGGGTGGCTATATTACAACAGAAAAACTTCAAAAACAGACTCCAACGAGAGACTGCTGAGCTAGAATTGATATGCAAACTAGACACAGTCAACTCCGGATTGAATAAGGACTGGGAATGGCTGAGCCATTACAAACATTGAATCTATCTCTCCTTGTAAGTATTCTCACACTTGCTTCTTATCAAACTGTCTGTACTGGGCTATCTTGATTATCACTTCAAAAGTTTTTTTCTCTTACTCAATTGGCCTCTCAGAGTTGGTAAGACAACTCCCACCTGTTCATGCTCTCTGTATGTGTGTATATATTTCTCCTCAACGTATGTTTCACTCTATATGCATCCGAAGAAGTGGGCTGTAGTCCACGAAAGCTTATGCTCTAATAAATTTGTTAGTCTCTAAGGTGCCACAAGTACTCCTGTTTTTTTTTTTTTTTTTAATTGAAATGAAAGTCACTTAATGGCTTATAGTGTTTGTTTACAGTGTATCAATTACAGAATAAACTGCCTGAAGCGCACAGAGTCAGTTAACGGCTTAAGGCTCACAGCAGGCGTGGTAACGTAGTGTTCACTTCAAGAACAAAGTCAATTAACTTGTTTGTAAAGTATCTTTCACAGGACAGATACAATCAATGGTTTCTACAGACAGTAGCTTACACGTTTTAACAGAAGACCCAAGAGGATTTTGTACGTGGTGAAACTGTTGGATTTTAAAGTGTGGGGGACAAACCGGGGGGGGGGGGGTCACTGTCACTTGGGGGAATCACTATTAGTACTTTCTTTAATATCTCTACAAGGACAATGGGGCACCGTTCACAAAGCAATATTACAAATTTTAAAAATACTGGATTGGAATAGATATTGGCTAAACAGAGACATGGTTCTGGGATTGGCGCATGGAAGTACAGGGAGGGCCTGGGTTCCCCTACTCTAGGGATAATACCCCCTTTTGCTCTTTTTTAAATAAGTTCACTCCCTGGCTTCCCATGAGTTGCCCTGTGGAAGCTTTGGTTGTCCTATGATGTCTATTCTGCCTAGAAACAGAGAGAGAGAGAGAGAGACCTCACCCTTTTTGGTGCTCTGGGCAGCCCAAGCAGTGGCTGTCAGGTCGCCGTCAGTTCATCGCTCACGGCTCAGGGACAGCTCGGGCGGAGCAATCCAGGTGCTGCTGTCCATCCCACCACTGCAGAGGCAGACTAGGCCCTGGAATAGCAGGATATCGGGATGTCCAGCGCTTGTAGTCAGGTGATTATGAAACCTCCCCCCACCCCTTCTTCGCTTTCTCTCCTCTTTTATTCCTTGCTGCTGTCATTTCTTTGTTAGGGACTTTGTAACTGCCAAACTTATTATCTTTGTTATTAAGATGTTAGGTAATAAATGTTCTCTGGTTTCTGTTATTTACCTGTCAGTTTTTATTTGAAATACACCCGGTGACAGGTAGGGAAGGGTTTGATCCTGTAAAAAGGGGTGGGATTTGGGGCCTAAGTTTCATTTCTCCCCTGAATGTTATAGATTTTAAGTGGCTTGTCTGTAACACTTCTAGCCACTGAGGCAGGTGGGGGGAACCCCCCTGAGGTTAGGGGTGTACAGACCACAGAGCCCAGAGACAGACAGACCTGCTGTAAGGTCATTGGACTATAGCTGGGTTGAACTCTCTGTTACACTGTAAGGGGGAGGGAATAAAGTTATGAATATTGGCTATGTACTTGTATCTCAATGTGTTTGATTCTAAGTAGCATCAGTGAAGCATTTGGTCAGCTTCTTGAGAAGAGACTATTCTGAGTAAGTGCCTAGTCAAGAAACACTTAACTGACAACGGACCTTGGGAGACTCCAATCCACATCTGAGGAGCCTTCCTGGGAAAGTTAGCATGTGAGCAATGGCTGCCACCTGCAAACTGAGTCATGCATGAACATGTGACTTGCCCATGTGACTCCAAACTCCATCTTGCTGCTGTGATTTTCCACAGTGAGAAAAAGGGGTTTCCTTCCACCAGGCAGAGGATATAAAGGCCCTGGAAACCCCTCCATTTTGTTTTCAGTCCTGCTTCTGACCTCTGGAGGAACTTTGCTAGAAACTGAAGCTCTGAACAAACGACTGAACGACCCATCCAGGCTCGGATGTTTGTACTCCAGAGACCTGATTGGTTTGAATCAGCAGTAATCCCATCAAGCCTGAACTAAGAACTTTGCAATTGTTGTACGTATTTGATTCCATTTAAGCAATTTTAACTCTCATCTATATTTCTTTCTTTTTATGAATAAACCTCTGGATTTTAGATTCTATAGGATTGGCAACAGCGTGATTTGTGGGTAAGATCTGACTTGTATATTGACCTGGGTCTGGGGCTTGCTCCTTTGCGATCGGGAGAACCTTTTTTCTTTTACAGGGGTATTGGTTTTCATAGCCATTCATTCCCATAAGGAGTGGTGCTGGT